AATAACAAATGTTGGGTCTCAAGATGGGTGATTATATTGCGAATATTATGCTCAGCAGCCCGATTATGTTGACCAACTTGAGCGATGTACTCGGGACACATTCTTTACAGAACGTGAGTTTTCCTAATAAAGTGGCACGATTTGTGAAAGCTTTTCAGGCACAAGTATTTGCATGATGAAATACCAAACAATAATAACATGACCCCTTGACACGACTCACGCGTGATCTGTCAAAACAAACATCTTGATATTTATTTTATTGATTGTTTTCTGATGGTTTCATAAAGCTGAATTTTCTAAACGTAATTTGAACAAGAACAGGCACATAACAAAATTTTAAACCATATTTTGCTTGCTTTGATGGCATGAAGGCGATATTTATTTTAACCTCGAAAGTCAAGTAATTACTCGAGTATTTGTTATAGATTTATAAATAATATATAATAATAATATTTAAATCAATGTATAGTATATACTTGTAGGGAGTCAATTCGATCAAATTTGTTCACCGGCGTTAATCAGATAGTGAAAATGAAGTCCGAAAGGTAGAGTAAATAAACTGCTATCTCTTTAATTAACTTCTTTTTATACATTATTCTCGTATTCATTTAAAGTGTCAATTATATATCAAGCTTTGTCAGCATGTTTCATTATTCTTATGCCTTCTGATGAGGCCCATCATAGATGTTTTTTTATTTAATAGTTAGGTGGTTTGTGATATTGGTAATGTTAACTCCCCACCCCTAACTCGAAGTATCCCGCCTTCGAATATATAGTTTCAAGGTAATTAATTTTAAACAAACATTTTCCTAACATTTCTTCTCTTTCTTTTCATATACTTTTACAACATGTTGCTACAGAGTATAATACAAGGTGCGTTCGAAATAAAAAAGGCTTTTTGAATCTGGGGCGCCATCTATCTCTATCGATTGTGAGAATTTCATGACATTTCATCAATTAGAAGTGAATTTATTGCGTTTTAAGTAAGTGTCAGTATGTTTGTGTTATCGGTGCGAAAAAGAGCTTTGAACAAAGAGCCAACATTAAATTTTGTTTTAAAATTGGTAAAACTTGTACCGAAACGTTTCAATGGAAGAAACAAGTTTATGGCGATGATTGCCTTTCCCGTAGCAAAGGGATTCATCATTGAAATTCATGGAAATGAAATGGAACACCCCCGAAACCTCGATTTATCGCATTTTGACCAAGCATTTGGGCTCCCGAAAGGTGTGTGCACGATTTGTACCGCACAAATTGGCTGACAACCAAAATTTGCTCAGAATCCAACATTCGATCGACGCTTATAACTGATTATTTGATCAAAAATCACATTTTAATTATTAACCACTGCCCTTATTCACCTGATATGGCAACGTGCGACTTCTTCCTTTTCAGAAAAATTAATTTGCCCATAAAAGGAAAGCGTTATGCAGACCTAGAGGCTATTCAAAATGCTTGCACCGGAATACTTGCGGCCATACTGGCCAACGAGCTAAAACACTCGTCCGACATGCTTTTGGACTGTACAAAACGCCATACTGAAGCAGAGGGAGACAATTTGGAATACAATAAATTGCTTTTGCCAAAAAAAAAAACAACGCATTTCATCTGTTTTTTTTTTCTCAAAAGCCATTTTTACTTTGGAACACACCTTGTGTATAATTAATTTGAAAAGTTATCAAATATACCCCTTCAATTATATAACTATTAATATCATGTTTTTCGGATACTATTATAGCTTCGTCCTTTACGATGTTTATTGATTTATTGGTTTCTTTAAGTTTTTACAATTAGAGTGTTTATTATTCAACACTATTTTCTCTATTTTAAAAAATTGGACTTAAAAAAATTTGTTTTCGAAATTTATTATTTTTTCTTCAATTATCAATTATCCGTAATTTTTTGTTATTGCTGTTGTTTTAAATAGCTTAAAGATTTTTTGTAATTTGGGTATATATGGTATATTATTATAATTTTAATTTAAAACTGTTTGTGGAATTTTTAATTTTGATCAATAAGGTTATATTAAGTCTTTTATTGTTAGTCTTTTCGTACTTCTAATGAAACTCCGTCTTATTTTTTTATATTCATAAAAATAAATAAATATGTACCATTTTGGTCGATTTCTTTTTGCCGTTTTTCCGCTGGAGACATTATTCAATCATTGTAAAACTTTCATCAGTGTAAATCGAAATTTTGAAATTTACAGAAAAGAAGCGGACGAACTATTGTTGTGCTTCACGAACTGGTACAGAATTGTTTCTGTAAACTTCATAAATTTCATTGGCGGCTGGTGGTCTTATTTTTCTTTCAACTTCCCCAAATTTAATTTTTTGATTAAATGAAGCTTGAAATCTCACCTATCCAACACTATATAATATGAAAACACAATGTGATTGGTAGCACTGGAGATATACGACTGCAACGACATCTATTGACAAAATACGAATACTTTTTCGACTAACCAATATTTGTTTTAGTTCTTTTATATCTGAAATATGTGTATTTAAAAATCAAAGTTCTGATAGTGTAATAGTTAAATTGTACGTTTAAGTTCAGTGATTATTAGTTTGTTTAGTCATTCTATTATCACCTATTATAGGCAACAATATTGCTCCAAAATTTCCTTATAATTTCTATGTGCTCTGTTTTCTATTACTATTTGTTGTTTGAAATGACTCTTCGCAGAGTGTTGTGTATTTATTAGCGAATTATTAGAGTCGCTTGACTCTTCAGAACTAACTAACTAACAATTATACTTGTTGCCGTGGTTGTATGTAAATTATTTCCATTTCTGTCCATTTTTTGATTTTTATATTTGGTATTTTTTCAGAAATTGCAAATAATAAAAAATTGATGGTCGGTGTGTATTTCCATATCACTAACAGCCTATAAATAATTATGTAATGCTTTTAAATCCCACAATATGGCAAACAATTCTTTCTCATTAGTTGGAGAGTTTAATGCGGTGGAATTTAACGTTTTTGAAATAAACATAATAGGCTTACCTTCCATTATTAACCAATTACCTAATGCTAAATTTAATGATTCGATTTTTAGTATAGTAAGGTTCAACTTACAATTTTCACAAGCAAATATATAATTTTTCTTTTTCTTTTGTTAATTTTTAATGTTTGTTAATGTTTTGTTTGACATTGGCATCTATCCTATATGGTTTTTATATTATTGTAACATGTTTTTACAGACTATACTAGTTTTGTTCACCTAACTGTTGCACGTATCACCTAAACTAAACGAGATAGCGTTATTGTACATATAAATGATCAGAATAAAGAGAGAAGTTGAAATCCGAGTGACTGTATGTATGTCTGTGCGCCCGTGCTTGCTGCAACTTGAGTAAAAATTGAGATATCGTGTGAAACTTGGTTAGCGCGATCCTTAGTGAAAAAAATTACGAGCAAATATGTGGATGAATTCGGACACTGCCACGAACACATAACACCTTTAACGGAAAACATAAAAAATGCCATAACTAAAGGCTAACTTAAGATAAAAAACTTTAGTTTCGCACAGGAGATCGCAGTAGCAAGGGGCATCTCTTGGCAAAAAATTTTGAAAAAGTGGGAATGGCCCCGCCCTCTAACAAGTTTATTTTCCATATCTACTAACCACTTAAATTACAACAACCAAAGTATTGAGTACAAATCTTATTAGAACCACTACCGACAGTGTGAAAATGGATGAAATCGGAAGATATCGCGCTCACTCACCCATATAATGGTACTGTTAAAAACTACTAAAACTGCTATTAATTAATAACTGAATACGCAAGAGAAATTAGTTTAAATTTTGCCACCGAAATGGTATGAGAGAGCTTTATGCGAGCCGGTGTGTAAATTGGACGAAGGGCGCGACACCGCCTACTTTTTAGTGAAATTTGGTATGTGGCTAGTTACATTCTTATGTCACAGTGTGAAAATTAATGAAAAATGTCAACCACGCCTACTTCTCACACACCACTATTTTCAACTCCACAAATCAAGAGCCAATTACTATAACGGGAAAAACTCTGCAAGTCCCTAGGTGCCGAATATTTAGACCCCAGTAGCTATAACTAACTCGTGATAGAAAATGTCGGTCAATGTGTGATATACATATATAATAAGCGATACTCCTTCTCTTATAATGGTATGTCCAAAACGGGTTCAATCGGATTAATATTTATCATAGCCCACATATAATTAATATTGTAAAGATTCTGAAAATTCAGGGTGACTTTGTGCCACATATATCGGCCAAAATGTGAGTTATCCCAAAGTAAATAAGAGAGATTGTTTTATTCATTCTTAGTACCAAAATTAGATAAATTCAATATGTTCGGCTGCACCCGAACTTAGCAGTTTCATTACTTGTTCTTAGTTTTGTAATAAGTTTTGAATTTCGTTATTTACAAAATTATTTACTGGCATTGGAATGGATTGGATATTGTTTTGACCAAATTGGCTGTTGCGCCAAGAGACATCTTTGTAAATCTAAAACTAAATTTAAGAAAATGAAATATTAAATTATTATAATGAATAATGAAATTGAATTTATAAATATTGAATTGTACAAAATAATATACTTACCTTAGTAATACATTTATATTACCTTCATTTATTACTTACCTTAATTCATCTATTACAATATTTAACGAAAGATAATTACTTCCCCTTTTTTACATATACTTATATTACCACTAGTTTAAGCCGTTAGTTTTTTAAGATTTAGGCTAAGCAACTAAATGAAATAAAAAAAAAATAAGCTCTCTTGTAATTGAACTGTGGAACCGTACGCACGCGTTTTCATTTTTATCGTAACACCGTGACAGGCAATTAGACTCTTATTATATTCGCGCATTCCCTAAGTTATATTTTCGCTTCTCAAAAACGCTTGAGAATTTTTGATGGCGCTCGAGCAGGGACTTAGTGCGTGAGCTAAGAATATATTTTATTTGACTTTCGTTTTCGTTTTAATCAACCATTATCGTTTCTAATTGCCTATAAATCGTTCGGTTTTCGGTCTTCGCCTAAATATATCGTGAAAGTGACCAAGTTGTGCAGTGATAGTGATACCTAAATGAAGAAAAAAGAATTATAAAACAAAAAATAACACACAAAAAAAATTATAGAAAGGAGTAAAAATCCAATTATACATATATATGTACAAGTACATATAGATATACGAATTGCGTGCAGTGAAACCTGTAAAAAAGAATAAATCCATATACAGTAGATTCAAGGGACCGACGATTTTACGTCGTTATACCCGGAGGACGCAATAACCAGAAGGAGCAAAAAAAAATTTTTTTTTTGTTTATTTTATGGTTGCCATGTCCGTAATATGCTTTTAAAATAAAACAAATGAATTTTTATGTTAAAACAAAAAATTTAATGCCATAACCTTCTATAACCTTGTCGTCATTAAAATTCGAATGGACAAATCTATTTAGTAGTTCTGCAGCCTTCAGTGCCTCCAAAACGCTAGGTGCTGACTCATCTTCATTTCGATCTTCCACGTTGTCGTCGCTATTCTGTTCATCATCTAATATATTTTCAACAATTCTGTCTTCCGAAGGTTCCTCACAAGTCGCCACATCATTGTCAATAAGAACATATTTATCCAGTTCTTCCTTTGAAATCGGTAGCTGATTTTTTAGAGCTCTTGCCCAAACCGATAGAGGAATGTCATCTTCGATTTCAATAGCATTTGAGCAWGAGCTGCTGGAACCATCTAAATTTTCTTCTGCAAGCCCAGAATGCTTAAAACAATTCGCAATTGTCAATGGTGAAAGTTGTTGCCATGCATCATTTATCMTTAAAATGGCATCAAGTATGGTTATTTTCGGGTAATTTTCATCTTTGTTTTCATCCATATTGCTGATTATTTTAAGTACAAGGGTTTTCCGAAAAGTTGATTTAATCACTCGAATTATGCCTTGATCCATTGGTTTAATACAGATGTCGTATTTGGTGGAAGGAAAACTAATGTGATATTCGTTAGGTCACTCATCAGTGAAATCCTTTCGTAGTATAGGCCAAACCTTTATAAGCCACTCGCTAACATCGATTTTTTGTACAGACAAAGATTCTCTACTGACTGTACCGCCGACAATATTATGCCTGACCTTAAACCGGCTTATCCAACTCACAGTACAATTAAAAWTTTCAWTTTTAAATTGCTTAGCGAAAAAATTTGCTTCTTCTTGAAGCAGTGGACCACTTAATGGGATTCCTCGACTGCGTTGCAATATGAACCACTGTAACAATGCTTTGTCCACTTGATCTTGAGTTGAAGCTCTGACGCGTTTCGGCTTTAAGATATTACTATTAAATAACGCTTTAATTTTTTCTTTATTTTTTTTTTTTATTGTGGCAATTGTTGTGTGGCCCACGCAGAATTCTTTTGCCAGAGTAACGTTGCGCTCACCCTCTTCCAGGCGCCGAATAATTCGCATTTTTTCTTCAACAGAGAAGCACTTTCGTTTTTGAGACATTTTGCGGGTGTAATGCACAAGTGTCGAACTTAAACTGAATGACTTGCTTATTGCGCATTTTACGCACTAACTCACATGTGGCGAATTTACGCATTCAAAAAATTAGAAAAAGGAGAAAAAACTAGAAATATAACGGGACATCCTATCGAATAGATTATGTGGTCTGCACACGCACGCTGTAAACATTTTTGTGACGTCAGCATTGCACTTCGACTATCTCTCTCTAGCAGCAGCGTTGCTAAGGCGACGGCTAAAACTGACAGAGAGTAGTGAGAGTGTTTGATGCTTAAATTTGTTGGCATTATTTCGCTGAATTTTTGTTTTCGTCGCTATATGCGGTTGAATTCTGAAAAATTTCGTCGGTATAAGCGGTTAGTCGCTAAAAGCGGAGACGTATTAAGCGGAGGCCCTTCATATAAGTTTGTATGGGGACCGACCAAGAAATCGAGTTGTCGCCGCAATAACCGGACGGACACTATAAGCGGCGTCGTTATAACCGGATTCTTCTGTATACATACATACGAGAAGACCAGTGGAAATCTGTAAAAAATTATATACATATATACATACAGTGTAAAGTGCAGTGCTGAAATACTTACCCGTATACTTACCCGCAAGATTGGAAAAACGGTAAAGCCTAAACACCGGTAAAAACCAAAGTGCAGGTAAAAACGACAAACCGTTTCCACCGCTATCCGATACTATCGCTGATTCCATCCCGTCGTTGTTAGCATCGCTGCTGCAATCACCTCGCTGCTGCCATTACGTAGCTGCTACTGTTGTCGCTCCGCTGTTGCCATTAATCTGCTGTTGTCATCACTAAACTGCCGCCGTCGCTGTTGATATTCAGCCGCTGCTGTCATCGCCCCGTTGCTGCCATCACTCCAGTACTGGTGCCAAGCCGCTGCTCCTACAAACCGCTGCTGCCACAACGTCGCTGCTACCATCAAATCGCTGCTACCATCAAACCGCTGCTGCCATTGTATTCGCTGCCATCAAGCCGCT